ATTTGGATGCCATTGAGAAATAAGACGGAAGTAAAAATGTCTTAAAGAAATTTTAAAATAATTATGCAGTGTTTGAGACATAACAATTGAGTAAGTTAATGATACCCATGTACTCAGTCACTTTAAAAAAATAAAACCTGCTAGTCCAGTCAGAGCCCCCTTAGAGACCCCTGTCCAGTCACTTCCCCTTCCCTGCTCAGCACTGATCATTGAGTACAGTAAGTTTCATTTCCATTCAGCTTTCTTCTGTGCAGAGTTAAACGTATCCCTTAAAACTCCAGCCCCCCCCCCCTTTTCCAGGCTGCCCTCCTCCCTCCTGGGGTGCCTGTCCCTCCTCCAGCAGAGTCATTGTACAGATGGGAACACTGTGGTACCCAGAGGGTCACTTGCCTGCGACCACACAACCAAAAAGCAGCAGAGCCTGAGGTTGAAATTTGGATCCTCTGGACCCCGGATTCCTTCTCCTTATTCATTGGGGATCCAGCCTTCTTGAGGGGAAAATCCAGCAGGCCAGCCTTGGGGTCAGGGGAGCCCTTGAAACCAGGAGGCCCAATTTTGGCTCCCCTGTATCCTCTGGACCCCCAAACCTGGGTTCTTTTTTATAGTTATTTCTTTTGTCATAAAATATAGAAAAATATGTTAAATCCATTTTATACGGTATGATAAAACATAATTGTAAAGCAAAGCCCAGTGTGATTACCATAAAACATTGTCAGTTCCCAGAAATATCACTCCCCGTTACTCCCCAGTCTAACCACTATCCAGACTTTTGGATATTTGTTGTCTTGATTTTCTGCCCAGTTTACAAGTGAGAAAGGCATCCCTAAACAAAGTGTCACGTTTCCTGTTCTGCACTTGCTATGAACGGACCCTTACTTGATGTGTCATTTTGTGTCTGGCCTCTGTCATTCATCGTCACATTCTTACACTTCATCCCTGTTGTAGGTGTCAGTAGTTAGGTCCTTTTTGCCGAATAGTGTTCTGCTGTATGAATTTACCTGTTTATCCATTCTCTTGTGAGTGGACACCTGGTCTGTTTCCAGTTTTGGGGTTACTGTATGTCTAGTACATGTCTTTTGGTAAACAAATACACTCATCTCTGTTGGGGGCTGTGAAATTGCTGTGTCGTGTATTGCGTTTTAGTTCTTACTGCCAGACAGTTTTCCATAGTTATTGTCCATTTAATACTCCGATTAGTAGCTATTCCTTAACATCCTTGTCAACACTTGACATTGTCAGCTTTAAAAATTTTAGCCATCCTGATGAGTGGTTTTAACTTGCATTTCCCTGTAACTGATGAGATTGTGTGTGTTCCTTGGTTGTGCGCATGTCCTCTGTGAGGTGCCCTTGTTCTTTTCACCTTGCTTCCCAGGTGGTTCACCTCTAGCTGACAGCTGCAGCTCCGGCCCAGGCCCTCAGCAGACTCAGGTCCAGACACCCTTGGGAGCAGCAGCGAGTGGGAGTGGGGCCATGCAGGTACTCCCCGCTGTGGGGCTTGCTGCCTTCAGGCCAGCAGTCTGGGCAGGCCCCCTGCGTGTGGACACTCTGCCTCTAGAGGCTGGTCTCTGACCTCCTGCCTAGGCGTCCTCCATCGGCAGCTCCCCAGGGAGCAGGCCATCCTCTTGGCTGAGGTGCCCGGTGTTTCATCACCGCAGGACTGCGTCACAAACACCTCAGCTGAGGCGCCACCCTCAGTGGGAGGACAGGGCAGGATCCAGGCGGGACAACCGGGGATCTTCCAGTTCCTCCCCTTGCCCTTGCCCGAGCTACTGCTGGCTTCTTAGTAGCTGAAATGAGAATGTAAAAAGTGACTCTGGTGTGCCGAGCACCGGCCAGGGCCTCCACCACTGCTTAGCTGGGAGACCCAAGGTAACCGGCTTTTCTCTGTGCCTCTGCCCTACCCTAGGTGTGATCACTGCCTCTCTGGTGGGGTGGTTGGGAGCATTTAAAAGACTCCATGGGAATGCTGGCACCCTGCTCAGGGCCACCCAGCTGGCAGTGGCTCCAGGACTCTGCAGCCCTGACCACCCTCGGTCACAACTGGCTGCCTCCACTTCTCTCTTTCCGATCATGGTGGCCATGTGTTCAGGGGGTTCCTGGGAGCCAGGCTGCAGGTTCCTGGGAGCCAGGGGTTCCTGGGAACCTCTGCACACAGTGGGTGCTTTAGTAGTGTTGAATCACAGTGGTTCCTTGAGGTGGAAGTTGCTTGAGGGACGGGGAGGAGAGAGGAGAGCTGAGAATGGACACCAGGCCCTGTCCTTCCTTTCCACATCGCCCTTCCTTTGGACGCCGGTTCCATCCCAGACCTTTGGGAACTATTCCAAACTGAGCTCCCTCCTGGGAAAGTGGCATCGGCCCCTGTGTTGGGGAGGAATTCCCTAAGTTCCCACCACAGCTGCCAGGCCCCAAGCATTCTCCTACCCACCTCTCCTGGCTCCTGACCCTGTGGGCACGGGGGCCCTTTGGCAGTTCTCCATGGTCACCAAGCTCCTTCCTGCCTCAGGGACTCTGCACTTGCTATTCCGCTGCCTGAAGTTCTTTTCCCTACATAACAGGACTCACTCACTCCCTGCCACATTTCCCCACAGCATGTGCTAACATAACGGCTCCCTGCTGTACTTTCTCTGCTTTACTTTTCTCCTCTGCGCCTCTCCACTACCTGCCATTGTTATGTGTGTTTTGGTGCCTTGTCTGCCTCCCCCACTGGAACATGAGCTTCATGGAGGCAGGGGCTGTGTCTTAGTGATGCTCTGTCTCTGGCACCCAGGATAGTGTCTGGAGCTTAGGACACCCTCAAAAAAATTGGTGGCATGACTAGACTCTGGACACGTTTCCGTGGCTATGTCTGGTCCTGGGCTGGGGGTCCGCTGGGGAGACTTGGGTTCATTCATTGTGTAGTCAGCAGATACCCAGACACTGTGCTCGTCCACCATGGTAGCGTTTATAGGTCTGGGGAGAGTTGGTTGAGGGAGTGCACAAAGAGCACCCAGTGAAGCCTCCGAGGTCAGGAAGGCTTTTTGGAGGAGGAATTGGTTCAGCTGAGACCTCGAGGAGGGAGAACTCATGAAGGTATGGGGGACAGAGGTCAGAGGGAAGGGCCAAAGTGACAAGTGGGCAGAGAATGGGGTGGGGGACAGCAGAATTAGGGGGATGTAGTGTTAGCTGTAATTATTGTCATGGTCATGAACCTTTACTGAGGGCTTTCTAGGTACTTCTTGGCTCACAGGGAGAGACAGGGCCAGACTGAGATGGAGTATAAGAGTTGAGTGCAGAGACTGGGAGCCCAGGGAGAAGGCTGGGAGGGGAGGTGGGGCCCGGTGGGAGAGCTGGTCAGGAAGCTGGGTGGCTAGGCAGTAGGGACCACCCTGGTCAGCAGGGTGGGAGGCAGTGGAGAATAGCCCAGCAGAGGCCAGGTCCTGAAGGGCCTTGAATCCCAAGCCTAGGAGCTTGTCTTTTTCCGAAGGGTTTTGAGTAGGGGAAGGACAGGGTTAGGTTTGAGAGTCCTCCGAGCTGCTGAGTGGGGGACAGATTGGAGGGAAGGAGGTGGAGCAGGACCCTGCTGGGAGAGGACAGCACTGGGCCTGAGCCAACTCAGGGAGCGCTGGATGGAGAGACTGGTCACATTAGTGATTGCAGCACACACTGGTGGGATATCTAGGATTGAAGGCCTGGCAGTCCTGGGTGTTTGGTTCATGGGGTGTGAGCCCTTTGGGGTGCCTGCTGGGGAGGGGAGCCCCTGTTGCTGCTTTCAGCCCTGCCTTTGCAGTGTGGAGTTCAGAAGTGATTTCTCACCCCGCTGTTTACTTCCCGGCACTGTTCATCTTGTCTCTCCCTGCTTCCTCCCACTTACCTCCTTCCCTCTGCCCGGCCAGGCAGCCTGCCACAGTCACATGCCAGGCAGTAGTGTGTCCGGCCCACCAGCTCCCCTGGGGCACGAGAGAAAGCTGATGCCCATGGTGTCCCTAGAGCCAGCTGCCACTTCTCTGGGGGCCACCGTAGCTCCTGACCTGCTGTCCGCAAATAACCCCAGGCCAGGAAAGGCAAAAGGCGCCTCAGGCTCCGTGGCTCGTGGCTCCTGTCCAGGCCTGCGGCTCCAGGTAGGGGCCCAGCTGGTGGCTGCCTCCCGCCCTTCTCCCCTCTGCAGCCTGGGAACCTGAGACAGAATCAGCAGCCTCGGCGTCTGTCAGTCTATCAGCTGCTGGTCCCTGAGGACAGAAGTGGAGGTCTCAGGGAAGGGACCAGGGCCTTGACTGAGCCCCCAGGACTGGCTCCTGGGCCCCAGACAAGTGTCTGCACAGTAGGTTGCTTTCCTGTTCATGATCTGGAGCACCTGAGAGACCCGTCTTTTCTTTTCTCGTCTTTTCTTTTCTCTGTCACTTGGGGACAAGGAGGGATCTGAGACTGTGGGAGCGACACGGGGTGGCCTGTCGCAGGGGAGTGGGGGTACTTGGTTTTGTAAAGGTGGCAGGTTGTTAACTGCCTGGTTTGGAAAAGAGAGAGTGAGTGAGAGTGCGTGTGTTGGGGGGTGGCAGGCCGATGCTGGTGGCTTTGTGCACTCCCTCAGGTGCCCAGGGCTGTTGATTCATCTGGGTCACCTCAGCATTGGGGCATGGGAGTGACGCTGGGGGCGGGGCCGTAGCTCCCTTGCCACTTTCCCAGCCTGCAGTGAGGGTGGGTGGATGGGCTGCCCCTGCTCAGCGTGGGTCATGGGTGTCGAGCACAAGGTCTAGCCTGCACATAGGCCAGAGAGCCCTTATCCCTGCGGAGTAGGGCTCTGAGGTCAGGGTTGTGTCCTTTCTCCCCAGATTGGGGTCCCTGGGGACACAGCCATATCTCCCCCCACCCTGAGCCCCAGGAGCAGGGCTCTCTACTCTCACTGGCTCCACCGTGTACATAGCAAACAGAGCAGCCACAGGGGCCTCAGAGCCTGCAGGTCCTGAGAGAAGGGACTGGGGCCCAATTCCCCTCCAGCTCTGATGAGCTCCTCTCTTGTCTTGCAGATTGTTCTCTGTTAGCTGTGCCTCCTGCATGCCCTGCTGCCCTGAGCTGTCCCAAGCTAGGTGACAGCGTGTCACGCTGCCACCATGAACGAGGTGTCTGTCATCAAAGAAGGCTGGCTCCACAAGCGTGGTAAGGGGCTGCTTATACCCGCGGGGTTGTGTAACACACACTCTTTCTCTCCCTCTCCCTCCCTCCTTCCTTCCCTCTCTCCCTTCTCCCAGCAGCTGATATTGTGAGAAGCAGAGGTGTAGGGTCTTCACAGTCCCCCAGAGCCAGCATCCTAGCCCCTCCTGCCTGCTTCAGGCCAGTAGCTCCTTACCATCCATTTCATGGAATCCTTCAGCAGTAGTCTGGGCAAGGGAGTTGTGGCTCTGCCTGGGGCCGAGTCTACCTAGACCCTCTGCATGTGCCCACAAGCCAGGCCTCAAGTTCTGCTTCTGCATTAGTGGTTTCATACATAGCCCCACTTCATAGGTAAAGAAATAGGCTCAGAGAGGAGAAGTCACTTAATTGAAGTAACACACACACTGAGGTGATATTTAGCACTCATTCAGCAAATACTCAGAATGTGTGTAGTGTGCTAGGGTGTCCCAGGCTTTGGGGACAATGTTGTGCCCTCATGGAGTTTACGTTCCATAGGGAGGTGGGGGCAAACAAACAAATAAGCAGACACGTCATGGTAGCTGGTGATAAGTACTGCTGTGAAAATAGGAACTCTGAGGGGGAAGGGGCTGGAGAGATGGGGTGGGCAGGGGAAGTCACTCTGAGGAGATGACAGTGAGCAGAGGCCAGAGCAGGTAATGGAGTGAGCCACACAGAGCTGAGTAAGGGTGATAGCAAGGACAAAGGTGGGAGTGTGGCTAGAGCAGAGAGTGAGGGAGGGCGAACGGGAGGAGGTGCTGCAGTGGAGCAGTGATGGGAAGGGCCTGGGCTGGAACTCTTCAGGTGATTGGAACCCTAGGAGGTCATGAGCCACAGTGTGACCTGATCTGGTTGTATTGTGGGCAGCCAAGCCAAAGAAATGAAGTCATTTACGGGGAAGAGACTAAGACACTAGACCCCTAGGCCCCAGGCTGCCTGCCCCCAGAGCTATGGCACTTACCAGCTTTGCTGCTACATGCAGCTGGGAAAGTTTGCTGAGAGCTGGCTTGTCCAGGCTGAGGAGGAAGGAGGCATTCTTCCTGAATTCCTGGACCTTCCTCTAGGGAGTAAGGGTGTCAGACCTGCTGATATCTGCTCTCTGTGCATTTTCACTCATTCAGCAGACATTTATTGTGCAGCTACTGTGTTCCGGGCACTGATCTAGGCACTGGGAATAGAGCAGTGCCCCAAACAGGCACAATCCCCGTCTTCATGTTCATGTCTTACATTTAATGGGGAGGGTGATGGCACTGTAGTCGGTATGTGTGTCCAGTGGTGGTAAGTGCCATGGAGAAAAACCAAGCAATGTGAGAAGGAGGGGTTGTGAAGTGGGCAAGGGGAGTTGTCATAAACAGGGTGGTCAGGGAGGGCCTCGCTGAGAGGGGGCCATTTGAATAAAGATCTGAAGGAGGCAAGGGAGTGAGCCCCATGGCTAACTGGGGCAAGAGCATGAGGGCAAAGGGGACAGCCTGTGAGTCTGGAGCAGGGAGTGGACGGGCATGTTTGAAGAGGGCAGGGAAGCTGACGGGGCTCGCCCTTCGGGAACAGGGAGACGTGCCCACCCATCCTGCCCTATCCCAGGCTGCAGAAAGCAGTGATGAGGGACAGAGGCAGTTCCCCGGGGCCAGGCCGCCCCCATCAGACTGAGCAGGGGAGACCTGTTCCTGTTGCCCTTAAAGACAGGGATGCCATTCAAGACATGTCGGTCTACCCCCCCAGATTGGGCCCTGTGTTTGGGGCCATCAGTAGAGCTTTCTGAGTCTTGGCAGATGTCAGGGTTCTAACCCTGGCTTTGCCACTTCCTCTTGGTGTGACTGTGAGTAAGCTGTCATCTCTCTGAGCCTTGGTTTCACATTTGGAAAATGGGTTAGCAACCCAGGCCTCTGACGCTGTGAGCTCCTTGAGGGCAGGGATTTGATCTGGCTTGTTCACTGCGGTAGCCTCTGTGCCTAGAAAAGTATGTGGCATGCAGTAGGCACTCAGTAACTGATTATTGAATGAATGGTTGGGATTGTGTGTGTGGAGGGGATGCAAGTCTGGTCTGTGGTCGAGGGTCTCAAGCTTCTGAGTTTCCCAAAGCCCATGGCTCTCTGGGCTGGGGTGTGGGAGCCCTGGAGGTGGCTGGAGCACTGTGGCAGGGGTGGGAGCACTGTAGCAGGGAGGGCTGCTGATAGCATTAAATGGATCTCCGCCCCTCTCAGGCCTTCAGTGTCTTCGTTTGTGCTACAGGGGGGTCAGATGAGCTGTTGAGATGGCCTAGCTGGGACACACCTACCTTCGGTTTGCACCATATGAAATAGTGATACATATTTGTGTCACTCCTGGGCCTCCCAGTGCCCGTCATTCTGAGCAGCAGCTGGCAGAGGGGGCAAGGCAAAGGGAGCCCCTGCTGACTGCAACTGTTTTGGTGTTTGCACCATCCCATCCCACCCACCCCTAATGGTTACAGTAGTAGCAGCCCCAGTTTACTTTGTGCCCACTCTGTGCCAGCCACAGGCTGTGCTGTAGGCTACCCCGCTTTTGTTGCATTTTCTTAGCTGCCCTGTGAGGTGGGCATCTTAAAGACCAGGACGCTGAGCCTCTGCAGGGAGACTGATTTGCTGGAGGTTCCATCGAGGAGGTGGCAGCGCTGCATCCTCTGACTTTTGAACCAGTGCTTCCAAGGCCTGCCCAGATGCTGCCTCACCCTGCAAGCTCTGTTCAAGGAACCAGCGAACTGAGAGCACCGCTTTTGAAGTGGCTCATGCTGTGTGCTGATCCCCTTTCCAGAACAGCCTTTGCCAGGCCCCACTAGGCCTGGTCCCATCTGTCAGTTTAGAGGCAGGCAGTGTAGTGGCCAAGAGCATGGACAGAGCAAACCCAGGTTCCATCCTAGCTCTCAACAACTGTGAGCCTTGGGCAAGTAATGCAACCTCTCTGTGCCTCAGTTTCCTCATCTGTAAAATGAGATTGTTGTGAGGATGTTTTTCCTTTCCTTCTAGGTTTCTTTTGTTTTCTTAGCTTGTTACTAATGCATAAAATACTACAGGTAAGTGCCTGGAAGCTCACCCCAAAACTAGTGTCCAGATCAAGAAACAGAACAAGACAGTCCCCACAAACCCCCTGCCCCTCCAGGGGCAGTAACTTGCCTAACTTGCAGTCGCATAAGTGAGTTTTTCTAGTTTTGTTTTACTTTTTGAAATTGAGGTGAAATTTACATAACACAAAATAAACCATTTTAAAGTGTACAATTCAGTGGCCTTTAGTACATTCACAGTGTTGTGTAACTGCTACCTCTGTCTTGTTCCAAGACATTTTCATCACCCTTGAAAACCCTGTCCTCACTAAGCAGTCAGTCCCCATTCCCCTCTCCTATCCTGGCAGCCACCAGTTTGTTTTGTGTCTTCATGGATTTACCTATTCTAGATATTCCAATATAAATGAATCATGCAATATGTGGCCTTTTGTGTCTGGCTTTTTTCACTTAGCATAATGGTTTTGAGGTTCATCCATGCTGTAGCATGGACCAGTATTTCATTCCTTTTTATGTCCAAATAATATTCCATTGAATGAATATACCACATTTTGTTTATCCAGATGTTTCTTGGTGGACATTTGGGTTATTTCTACCATTTGGCTATTGTGAATAGTAGTGCAATGACTTGTTTTCAGTGCTTTTGGGTATACACCTAGGAGTGGAATTGCTGGATCATATATTCTATGTTTGTAATCTATATTTATGTAGATTATCTAAATTGGATCAAATATTTTGTATTTATAACCTAACATTTTATATAATTAGATAACATGTAAATATATGTAGATATAAATAACCTGGGTCATATATTCTATATTTATAATCTACAGTGTATTCTATATTTAACTTTTAGAGGAAGTGCCAGACTTTTTCATACAGCTGCACCATTTTACATTTCCACCAGGGTCAGTTTCTCCACATCCTCACCAACATTTGGGATTGTTCTTTCTCGTTTCCTTTTTTAAATTGCAGCCATCCTAATGGGTGTGAAGTGGTATCTCATGGTTTTGATTTGAATTTCCCTAGTGACTAATGATGTTGAGAATCTTTTTTGTGCTTGTTGCCCATTTGTGTATCTTTGGAGAACTGTCTATTCAAGTTCTTTGCCCATTTTATAATGAGGCTGTTTGTCTTTTTGTTGTTGAGTTGTAAGAATTCTTTATATATTCTGAATACTAAACCCTTGTCAGATACATGGTTTGCAAATATTTTTACCCCCCTTTTTTTTTTCTTTTTACTTTCTTGATAATGTTCTTTGCACAAAAGTTTTTAGTTTCAATGAGTCTATTTTTTCTTTGTTGCTTGTATTTTTGGTGTCATATCTAAGAATCCATTGTCAAATCCAAGGTGAAGAAGATTTTATAGCCTTGGCCAATGTGGCTCGGTTGGTTGAGCATCATCCTGTGCCCCAAAGGGTCACAGGTTTGATTCCTGGTCAGGGCACATACCCAGGCTGCCGGTTAGATCCCTGATTGGGGTGTGTACAGGAGGCAGCCAATCTATGTTTTCAGATTGATGTTCCCCTCCCCCCCCCCAGAATCAATGAATATATCCCCGGGTGAGGATTAAAAAAATAATAATTTATTGATTGATTTAAAAAAATTTTTTTTTTTTTTTGAGAGAGAGAGGAAGGGAGAGAGAGATTGAGAGAGAGAGAAACATTAGTTTGTTGTTCCACTTACTGATGAATTCATTGGTTGATTCTTATATGTGCTCTGACTGGGGATTGAACCCTCAGCCTTGGCGTATAAGGGAAACACTGTTACCCACTTAGCTACCCAGCCAGGTCCAAGGTCAAGAAGATTTACAACTCCTTATATATTGTTCTAAGAGTTTTATAGTGATAGCTTCTATATTTCAGTAGATCCTTTCGAGTTAATTTTGTATGTGTTGTGTGATGTGAGGTAGCGGTCCAGCTCTGTTTTGTGTTTATTTCTTGCATGTGGGTGTTCGGTTGTCCCAGAACCATTTGTTAGGAGACCAGTCTTTCCCCACTGAGTGGTCTTGGCACTCCAGTTGAAAATCAGTCGACCGTGGTTTTTTTGCTTCATTTGTTTGTTTTTGACAATTCTGTTCCATTGGTCTATATGTTAGTCCTGTGCCACACTGATTTGGTTACTGTAGCTTTGTAGTGACATTAAGGAGTGGAGTTTCTTTACTTTGTTGTTCTTTTTCAGTGTTGTTTTGGCTGTTTGGGCTCCCTTGCCATGTGAATTTGAATTCCATGTAAATTTGAGGATTGGCTTTTCCATTTCTGCAAAAAAGGGTGTTGGAATTTTTTTTTTTTTAAATATATCTTTATTGATTTCAGAGAGAGGAAGGGAGAGGGAGAGAGAGATAGAAACATCAATGATGAGAGAGTCATTGATCGAGCCCGCAACCGGGCATGTGCCCTGACCGGGAATCAAACCCTGATCGCCTGGATCCTAGGTCGACGCTCAGCCGCTGAGCCACACCCGGCCAGGCAGATGTTGGAATTTTGATAGGGGATACAGAGGATGTGTTGACTCTGTATATCGCTTTGGGTAGTGTTGTCATCTTAAATAGATCAAGTCTTCTGGTCTGTGAACACAGGATATCTTTGCATTATTTAGGTCTTTAATGTCTTTCAGCAATGTTTTGTAGTTTTCAGTGTATAAATCTTTCATCTCCTCATGCTGTTGTAAGTGGAGTTGTTTTTGTAATCTTCCTTAGATTGTTTGCTGCGGGTGAATAGAAACACACACAACTGATTAGCCTGTTCTTCTGCCGAATTTGTTTATTAACTCCAGTAATTGTTCTGTGGGTTCTTCGTGATTTTCTATATATAGGATCATTTTATCTTCAGATTAGGATAGTTATGTTTGTTCTTTCACATTGGATGCCCTTTACTTTTTTATTTTTCTCTGACTAAAACCTCCAGTACTGTGTTTAGTAGCAGTGGTGAAAGTGGACATCTTCTTGTTCCTGATCTTAGGGTAAGCTTTCAGTCCTTCGCTGAGTATGATGTTAGCTGTGGGGTTTTCAAAGATACTTTTTATCATATGGAGGAACTTCTATTCCTAGTTTGCTGAGTATTTTTATCAGGAAAGGTGTTGGATTTTGTCAAATGCCATTTCTGCCTCAATCGAAATGATCATGTGTCTTTTCCTTCATTCTATAAATGTGTATTACGTTGATTGATTTTCATACGTTGAACCACCTTTGCATTTTTGGGGTAAAACCCACTTGGTCATGATGTATAATCCTTTTAATCTGTTGTTGAATTTGGGGTTTTGCTAGTTTTTGAACTTTATATACATGGAATCATTTAGTATCTAAATTTGAAAGAATTTAGTAAGTTAAAACCTATAAGATACTTAGGACAGTATGTGGCACAGAGTACTAGTAGAGTGTTATCTAATCATCATCATCATCATCATCAGTATCATTTAATGGCTAGCTCCTTAAGAGGAAACAAAGACTCAGGAGTAAAGTGACTTACTGGCAGCCACACAGCAAATACAGCTCAGAGCCCACCCTGCCATCCTGTCTCACATGTGCCATGTGAGTTGAGGGCTTGACACACACTTTGCACAGTGGGCTGAGATAAAGAGCATTTATTGAGTGAGTGCCTTCTGTGAGCTAGGCCCTAAGCTGGGGGCTTTATGCTTGCAATCTCATAGTTTTTAACAGTTTGAGATATATATAAGATACAATTCATCCATTTAAAGTGTACAGTTTAGTGGCTTTTAGTATTCAGAGTTATGTATCCATCGCCACAATTAGTTTTAACACGTTTCACTACCACGCTACTGCCTGGTATATTCATGGTTAGAACAAATAGAAGGGGTCAAGGGACACTTGGAGGGCGCAACAACAGTTATACCCGGCTTGGCACAGTGTTTTGACATTTGATCCACCTGCGCGGCTGTACGGCGAATACCAGCCCATGGGATTTGGCCTTACAGGGCCACGGGGCATGTGTGTTTGGAAGCCTGGGCCTCTCCTGGGACTGGGCCACGTGCTGGCAAGGATGGCTTGCTGCTGGCCACAAGCTGAGGCAGCTGGTGCCCTGGGGCACTGCAGCAGGCACCTTCCCGCCAGGCATGACCTCTGAATCACTGGGCCCAACCCAGCAACAGCCTTCATCAGCAGGCGCTGCCTCCAGGGTTTCTCTTGGAGAGGCACTCTCCTGCCCACCCCTCATCCACCCTCCTCCCACCCAGGCACCCCTTGTGAGGCACTGTGGCCCTGGGCTGTCTGCCCTGACCTCTCTCCTCCCCTGCCCCCTGCCTTGCTTCAGGTGAATACATCAAGACCTGGAGGCCACGGTACTTCCTGCTGAAGAGTGATGGCTCCTTCATTGGCTACAAGGAGCGGCCCGAGGCCCCTGACCAGACCCTGCCCCCCCTAAACAACTTCTCTGTTGCAGGTAAGTCTTGGAGCAGGTGGGTGGCTGGGCCAGAGTTTGGGTGTTCGGAGACGACTGGCTAGTCTTGGGGGCACATGAGAGCCAGCTGTTCTTGAACTGTGGACCTGTCCAGGGCCTGCTCCACCCATGTGTCAGGTGGGTGCAGTAAAGTGGGAGGCAGGGAGAAGCCAGGCATTTCCCCAGCCTCCAGCCCAGTCAGCGCTGCCTCTGTGGTTCCAGCTGCTGCCGTCCAGGTCCTGGGGTTCTGGCTGGTGTCAGGTGCCTCTGCACTCTGGTAACAACAGCCTGCTTCTCTGTCCCTCTAAACTAGAGGTGGCCATGGCCCCCCTCTCAGCTGATTGCAGGGCTAACCTCACATCCTCCGTCCCCTTCGTGGTATCTGAAGTGGTGCCTTCCAGCTGGACCCTGGCCAGTGAAAGCTTGGCAGGCCCAAAGCCCTTGCCTGGATCTTGCAGAACCACAGCCCTGCCTCCAGCCCTCTGCCCCCTGCTTCCTTCCTTTCCTGCTGACCTGATGGGTCACCACATCCTCGGTGTCCCACCTTCTAAGAACATTTCAAAGACACTCCCATCTCCACTGACATTCCTCAGCCCAGGCCACCATTCTCCCACCTAGTTGCCTGCTCCAGCCTCTTGCCCAGTCTCACCCTTCCCCACTTGCTCTGGAGTCCAGTCCTGGTCCCTGATCTGTTCTGCTTAACCCCTTGTCCTGGCGCTTTCCCCATGTGCTGTGACTCTGATGTGGCTGCTCCCAGTCCTGGCTTCTCCCCTGAACTGCCAGCCTGTCTTGAGCGGCTTCCTCCTCGTTTCTCCCTGGGTGTCCTCTAGGTCCCTCATACCCACCGTGGCCCAAACTGGCCATCTAGTCTCCCTTTTCTTCTCCCAGCCTCCCACTCCCTGTCTCCATCTTGGGGTGGGCCCTACTGCCCCCTAGTCCTCAGGCCACAGGCCTCGGTCTCATCCTAGGTGCCTCTCTGCCTCCCTCTGGGCGTCTACCTGCCTTTTCCTCCCTTCACCGTGGCTCCACTCTGGTGTAGCCCCAGCCTTCTCCCTGGGCTCCCAGCTTCCATTCTGTCTCACCCTCTGCATGGCAGCCAGAGGGATCTGTGTAAATCTGTCCATGCTCCTTCCTTATGAAAGCCTTCCATAGCTCCCTGTTGCCCTCAGGACAAAGTCCAGATTCCTCATCATGCCCATGAGCCCTGCAGGTGGGCCCCTGCCCACCTCTCCAACCTGTCTCACTTCTCCATTCCTCACACCTAGAGCAAAATTTGCCATTCCCCGTGTGCTGGGCCCTCTGGCACCTCCGGTCTCTGTGCACGAGGCACCCTTCTGTTTGACCACATTCCCTCTTCCTGCAGGGTTCAGCGTTGAGATGGCTCTTCCTCCAGAAGATGCCCCTAGGTTCCCCCATCACAGTCCTGACCACTGAGCCCTCATTGTCTAGTGGTCTATCTCTCTCTCTCTCTCTCTCTCTCTCTCTCTCTCACACACACACACACACACACACACACACACACACACGATCTTGAGCCCACACACACACACACACACGATCTTGAGCCCCCACACACACACACACACACACACACACACACGATCTTGAGCCCCACGGGGCAAGTCCAGAGCAACTCATGGCACTGAAGTGTCTTCAACATCATCTGGCTGGCTGTCCCTTTACCCTCCTGTCTCTGTCCTTTCCACCTACAGAATGCCAGCTGATGAAGACTGAGAGACCACGGCCCAACACATTTGTCATACGCTGCCTACAGTGGACCACAGTCATCGAGAGGACTTTCCACGTAGACTCTCCAGATGAGAGGCAAGTCTGAGCCTCTGTGTGGCTGCCCTTTGCAAGCGGCCAGGCCTAATGAGGGAAAGGGGTGCAAGCAGACAGATTCCCCTGGACCCCTGCTTAGCAGTTTTTGTCCCAGCCCTCCTGGTGTGGGGGTCTCCCCAGCTGGAGCTGGGAGGAGCAGGGGTCCTCAGGCTATAGACCCCCCTACAGTCTGAGGACTGAGGGTGCATTGGAATCACAGGCAGCGCTTGTTAACAGGGTGGAGCATGGGCCACATCAGGGCCTCTGATTATCTGGAGATCGGTAGAGGGTCAGGGAGCTGCATTGTTAACGCACATCTCCATTGACTTTGAGGCAGGCAGTCCAGAGACTTAATTAATCAGAAGAGATGATATAGGTTTACCTAGTTTCAAAATCAAACAGTATAAGGAAGGTATCTAGTGAAAGCTTCCCTCTCCCTTCTGCCCCACCCCCGAGTTAACTGCTCTTATGTGCCCTCCAAGAGCTTCTCGGAGTGGGGTAGCGGGGAGACATGGACAGGCTCACTTGGGTAGAGCCTTTCACGCCCTACTCCCCTTGTTTTTTCCTGTTACACAAAAGGTAGCATTGTACACAGACTGTTCTGAACTTGCTTTTTTACTTAATTTGTCTTGGGGAATCCTTCTGTTTCAGTCTGTAGTGAGCTGCTGCTGTCGTTTTTTGGTTTTGTTTTTTTTAATATATCTTTAATGATTTCACAGAGAGGAAGGGAGAGGGAGAGAGAAATAGAAACATCAATGATGAGAGAGTCATTGATCGCCTGCCTCCTGCACACCCCCAACTGGGGATCGAGCCCGCAACCCAGGCATGTGCCCTGACTGGGAATTGAACCGAGATCTCCTGGATCCTAGGTCGATATATTCAACCGTTGAGCCACACCCGGCCAGGCTGTAGTTTTGCTTTTTAAACAGCTGCACTTGGCCTGGCCGGGCATGGCTCAGCGGTTGAGCGTCGACCTAGGATCCAGGCGATCGGGGTTCGATTCCCGGTCAGGGCATATGCCCGGGTTGCGGGCTCCATCAATGACTCTCTCATTATTGATGTTTCTATCTCTCTCTCTCTCCCTCTCCTTTCCTCTCTCTGAAATCAATAAAGATATATTTTTAAAAATAAATAAATAAAAAATAAACAGCTGCACTTGTATGTTCCCAAGTCTGTAGAGCTGTTCCTTATGGATGGTGACCAAGGTTGTTCCCAGTATTTGCTCGTTATGAGCAAGGCCACAGTGCAGTACCTGTATTTGTCTCATTGCCGTATTGCTGGTAAATTTGTAAGATGAATTCTTAGCTAGAGGCTTGCTATGTTACAGGGGATGTATATCTGTAATACTAAGAAATGTTTCTATTAGGCCACCTCTAAGAGTGTCCACAATTTTGTGTTTTCACATGTTTGGATTTTTACCAACCTGATCAGTGGGAAATGGCATCTCAGGGTAGTTTTCATTGGTCTTTCCGCTGTGGGTGTTTTAGTTCCTCTCATTCTCAAGGGCCATGTGAATTTCCCTTTCTGAGGTGTGTTCGTGTCCTTTGCCTATTTTTCTGTTGGGTAGTCTTTTTCTTATTTGTGAAAGCTCTTTATGTGTTAGAAAGCTTAGCCCTTTGTAATGAGTAGCAAATACTTTTCCCTACTTTGTCCTTTGGGCCTCTCTTTGAGAAATACTCCTTTAGCTTGTCTGTGGGGTGAGGATTCAGCTGACCCCCTGGAGAACCTAAAGCAGCACCATCCGAGAGAATTTTCTGCCATGATGGAAATGTTCTCTACTTGCAGTGCCCACAAGGATGCCTGTGGATATTTGAAATGTGATTGGTGCAACTGAGGAATGGGATTCTTTTATTTAATTAATTTAAATTTAAATAGCCACATATGGCTAGTGGCCATCTGCTTGGACAGTGCATTTCTAGAGCATACACAAAACAATGTCACAAGACCTTTTACCATGGTCTATACTGTAATTATTGTTCAGACCTTCCCAAGGGGAAGGGGAACAGAATTACCACCTCAGGCCATCTGAGGTATTGCTAAGCTGAAAACTGGGAACCAAAACACAGACTACCAGTAAAAGATGATGAAGGCCAATAGGTGTACAGCACCTGGGTGTTGGGCTGAGTTTTGAAGGATAGATAGGAAGGAGTTGGCAACAGAGATAGGAAGGAGAAGGTGACCACAGGAAAAGGGACCAGCATATGTAGAGGCCTGGAGGTGAGACAGCTTGTCATTCCAGGGAATATCGAGGGGTTTGTGTCACCGAAAAATTAAGGGCCAGTGGTCTTGGAAGTGGAGGAGTGGCGGACCTTGAAGCTGCTGAGTTCCGCCAGGGCCTGGGTTCCAGATGGAGATCCCCATGGGGCTTGGCAGGCGGTGAATTAGTTGGGGTTTGTCACTGGGTTGCTACAAGGTTCAGGGGGGTGACAAACAGGAAGCTTCGATTCAGCGGTACCTGGCCCAGTGTGCACTGCTGGAGAAGGAGTGGTGGGGAGCCGCCAGAGTGTTTTCTTAGGCAAGAGACCCATTCTGGTTTTCATTGTTGTAAGATACCATACCCTTCAGTGCGGGGAAGAGTCCCTTTCTCAACACTGGGGAAGAGGGGCGTAGGGCTAGAGTAGGGCTAGAGAGCCAGCTTCCTGACCTGGCGGGAGCCAGCAACCCAGTGAAAATGAGCCTGCTCAGGGCCGGGGTGGGGGGGGTGGTGTGTGTGTGTGTGTGTGTGTGTGTGTGTGTGTACACACGTACACAGAAGGCCCACAGGGGCCATGCTGGTGACTAGTCCTTGCCTAGATGCTGCAGTGGCCTGCTCACTGCTCCAGAAAGCCTCTCCTGCCTTCTCTTGTCCGCTCTCCCAGGGAGCTAGAGGGAATCCCTAACCCCCGCCCTGCCAACTTCTTTCCAGTGTACATTTAGTATAATAAACCAACGTCCAGATTCCCACACCGAGTCAGCAATTCAGCATTTGCCATGTTTGCTTGGTCTGTATTTTTTGCGGAATCTTGTACTTCTGTTCATATTCGTGACACTTACCTCCTTAATACCTTAGCAGGCACCTCCTAAGGATAAGGACCATCTTCTACAGAGTCGCAGTACCATTATCACACCTCAGGTGGTTCTTTATAGTAGATGTTTAGTACCATCCTCCCCATAGCCCTGCCATAGATTTCTCCAGTGATCCTCAAAATGTTGTTTTGTAAACCAGGGTTATTCAAGGTACAATGCTGTCTCTTTGGCCTGTTTTAATCTAGTTCAGTCCTTTGTCTTTCTCCTCCCCAGGACATGTTTTTTTTTAGATAAGGCAGGCTAGGTGTCTTGTAGAATGCCACACTTTGGACGTGTTATCTTACTGCCTTTTGGCCCTGTTTACTTTGGTCCTCTGTGCCTCTGTTTCCTGTAAACCAGGAATTAAGTCTGGATGGGGATTGGCAAACTATAGCTCAGCCTCCTGTTTTGTAAATAAAGTTTTATTGGAACATGCCCATACCCGAGGTTGCTTTTTCCCTACTGTGGCAGAGTTGAGTAGTTTCGATAGAGATCATGTGGCCTGAGAAGCCTAAAGTATTTACTGTTTGGTGGTTTACAGAAGTTTGCAGACCCCTGGTCTTGGCTGGTGTGCTTAATAGTGTATTACATTAGTGTGATCTTTTTAATGTAAATCTTATAATGTAATTTCTCTGCTTAGAACTCTTGAGTGGCTTTCAGTCCCACTTGGCGTGAATTCCAAAGTCAACGCCATATTCTACAAAGTCCTACATGACCTGGTGTCCTCTCCAGAATCATTTCCTACCACTGGTTTCCTCACTTGTCTACTCACTGTTCCTTAAACATGCCAAACAGACTTTCTACCTGAGGACCTTTGCACTTGCTGTTCCCTTTGCTTAGAATTTTCTTCTCCCAGATATCATTATGAGTCTCTGCTCACATGTTACCTCCTCGGGGTGGTCTGCCTGCCCCCGTGGCTCTGTTACCCTTACCCTGCTTTTTTTTCTCCGTAGCAGCTGTTTATTTATATGTGCTGAGAACATAAATAGGTATTCAATAAATGTTTGTTGAATGAATAAAACAATAACTAAAACTAACTCTGCTGGCCACACCCTGTTCTAAGACTTTTGTATATACTAACTCGTCCTCACAACATTTCCTGGAGGTAATTCCTCACCTGTTAAGCAGAGATGGTGATAGCGAAACAGAGGCACAGGGAATTATAGAATAAGGGAAAGATCTGAAGGGTCCGGGTTTCCCCCTCCAGACATGGCTGGGTCTGGATCAGCCAGCTCAGCCATCTGAGGATATCTGTGAACAGAGGGGGACCTCAGATTTCCTCCAACTGCAAACACCCCTCTGGGTCAGAGGACGGCCCTGGTTAGGGAGAGAGGTCCCCCGTTGCCATCAGACCAGCAGTCACTTGTTACTCTTGACGCTGTGAGGAGGACAGGCCTGTGCACCAATGATATCCCTGACACCTCCGGTTTACCTGGTTTCCCTCTGGGGTGTACTTAGTCTTGCCCAGCAGGGTATCTCAGGGCTGGGGCTGGAGCTCTAGAGTGAGACCAGCGCTGTGCCACTTTCTCAGTGGGGTCAGTTCCCTGACTGTCATGAACAAAGGAGGAAGTAAACGTGAAACCACTGGCCTGGGGCCTCCCCATGGAATCCTGCTTGTTGGCATCTCTTCTCTTCACCATCTTCTCTGCCACCAGTACCTCCTGCCTGGAGAACTGCTGTAGTCTCATGCTTCCTCTCACTGCCCCCAATCTTTTCCCCACACAGCAGCTGCTGACTTAAAACAGAAATCGGATCCTGCCATCCCTACATAAACCTTCAGTGACTTCCCGTGATGTTAAGATGTAAATCCTAACAGTGGCATATGCAGCGCAGTGCGATCTGGGCCTGTCCACCCTCCCCTCATCTCCTCTGTTCCCTCTCTTTGTAGAATTCAGCTCCAGAACACCTGCTGGGCCTTCTGCAGACCCTCAGGCTCCCTCCTGCTCAGGGCCACCTGGCTTCCTTTCCCTCCCAGCACTTTGCATGGCTGCCTCCGTCCCTCTGCTTCATTGCACAGCCATGTGCTAAGTGCCTGTTCTTGGTGCTGAGGATAGTCCATGTTCTAGGGATGTCTTTCAAGTTCTGGCTTAGATGCTACCTCCTCAGTGAGGCCTTCCCAGATCGTCCTCTGAGAAGGAGCTTCCTGTTCCAGTCCCTGCCTTGGGAACTTGACACACTCATCTTCTCCATCAGGCTGGGAGCTCCCTGGGGTTTGTCTCTGCTGCAGCCTCAGCACCCAGAACCAGGCCAGTGCAGAGAAAGCAGGAAGCATTGCTGGCTGGCTGGGCGAATGCTCACAGCCACCCTTGGAGGTCCTCGTTGTGCCAGGCACTGCCCTAATGCTTTCTGTCTCGTGTTGCATTTCACCTTTACATGACCCTCTGGTCCCTGCTCTATGTGGCAGCGGCTGAGGCACAGGAAAGTAAAATGACCTGCCCAGTGTTGCCTCCAGGACGGACAGAGCTAAGATCGTGTCAGGCCGCTCGGCTTCAGAGTCTGTGTACTCAGCCACTGTGCGATGCCCAGTATATGAGGGCAGTAGACAGGCTGGAGAAGTGAGGCCACTCAGGGCCCCTCAGCCAGTTCACAGCAGAGCTGAGCTCTAGGCCCTGGCCCCGAGTCTGCCACACACAGTCGGGTGCTGCCTGGGGGAGCATAGCTCCACCAAATGTGTCTTCTGGCCTCAGAGCCCAAGTGAGGGATAGGAGGCTCCTGAAAGTCCCCCGAGGGAAAAAGTGCTTCGGGGGCAGTAGGGGCACCTGGGTACTGGGGCCTCTGCTTGCTGGCTGTGTAATTGGGCACATCAGCCTCTCTGTGTCTCAGCCTCCTTGTTTCTAGAAGGAGCTAAATAAGTACCTACTTCATAGGGTGTTCAGGAGGACCTATGGGGTTACCTCACGTAAAGCGTCTGGTCACTACCTGAGGTAAATTGTCCTTTAACAAATTTTAAAATGCTAACTTTGGGTGAGAACATGGATTAAAGAAACAGAGTGCAGCCCTAGCCAGGTGGCTCGGTTGAGTGTAGTCCTGTGCACCTCAAGTTTGCCTGTTCCATTCCCGGTGAGGGGCGTGCAGGAGGCAGCTCATCAGTGTTGCACTCTCGCATCGATGTTTCCCTCTCCCTTCCTCTCTCTCTAAAACAATTTAAAAATAAATTTTAAAAATAACATGGCTTGCTTAGTGAATTTCAGGCCAGAAAAAAAATAACCCCACATACCTTTGGGTGTGGATTAAAAAGAAAAGGAAAGAAATAGAGCGCCCCTGTGTGAGTGGAGGGCATTTGTGTTCTGTTTAATGAGGGAGTCCCTGGGAAAGGTCAACCCCCAAGGCACTGCTTTCCTTCCTCGCCCCGGGCTGTAGTTACTCCCTAAGCCTGTGAGAGTGCCTGCTTCCTCCTTCCTCCTCTTAGGCCTTACCTGGGAAGCTGTAACTTTCATCAGGGAGCAGTGGTGGCGTCCCCAGAGCCACCTGGCTGGGTGACCTCCATGGGTGACTGTGCACCTCAGTTTCCACGTCAGAAACATGCCCATTTCTCCGCCAGTGCTCTTAAGGGAGATTGGATGAGGTGGTGTCTGTGGAGCTGTTACTGTTCCTGTCATGTCTCAGGGTGGGGAAGAGGTTGGTTCCCCTGGGGACTTCCCTTTGAGGCGTGGAAGGCACATCAGCCCCAACTCTGGGTGGGAGCTCCCCTCTGCCCCAGACACCATGTTGCAAACCCTTGAGGAATATCCTGGACCGAGGCCCTTGCTTTTTCTCCGAATTCTGAGTGCTGCAACCTTGCAGCCTTGGTCCAGTTGGAACAGGATTGGGAGCTTGTCAGGCGTTGGGGGAGCCCCAGCTACCCCCATCCAATCTCCTGTGTCCCTGTGGGTTCCGCAAATCCCTGTGGGGCTGGGCACCTGAGTCAAGGTGGATGGGATAGGCCCAGGTCCCACTTAGGGTCGTTAACACCTTTCTTGAATTGAGCACTTCCTATGTGTGCACTGCTTTGCACACAGCAGCTCACCAGTATCACAGTGTCCCCAGCCTACCGCAGAGGGGGGTGGACTGGGAGAGGTGAGCTTGCCCGGGTGGCAGAATTACCATTTGAGCCCCAGCTAGTGTGGCCCCTGGAGCCCATGCTCCTGATCATCAACTCTGTGGCCCAGAGACGTTGCTCCAGAGGAGCCCCTTGGAGCTGCATCCAGAGCTCCTGTGGTATGGATGAACCGTCACATATTTATTCAGGCCACTGTTGATGGACTGCCTGTGTTCTCCCTTATAAACAAAGACAAGAGCACGCTACGCATCTTCGTCTGCAACATGCTGTTTTTCATATGACAGACTGTGTGTGAGATATACATAATGTTTTAAAAAATATATCAGCATATCTCTTAGGAGATTGGTGATTTTTTTTTATTTGTGGTCTTACACACAAAGTTAGCATTTTAAAATTTCTAAGAAAACAGTTATGATCTGATAAAGTAAATTATTTTTCAAAATACAAGAATATTAATGTAGACACAAGGATTTATATTGTAATTGATTCCAAAGAGGTCACAGGGTGAAACAAGTTGAGAAATGCCTGCCTGAGGCATTGGGTCAGGAAAGGAAGCCAATGCTGCTCTACCTGGGCGTGCACTGGGCCTCTGTGTGCTCCCCACCTGTAATGCAGGAGGAGGGGTGAGTGCTCGCCCCAGAGGCAGCCAGGTGTTTATGTGATCTCATGCGCATAAAATCCTTTTGGTTCTAACTCTAATAGCATGATACTATGCTCTGCTCACCTTTTTCATGTAAGATGTCTTAGGTCATTCCAAGTCCACAGATAGATCTGCCTCATTCTTTCTGTCAGCTGCAGAATGTCCCCTCTCCACTTTACAGAACCCTGTGGGCTCAGCACTGTTGCCATGTTTCCTCCAGTCTAAGACGTCATCACCTGAAGACACACCATTATTTTATATAACACGATAAAAAAGCAGTGCCCATTTAAGTCAGACATGTGTTGTAGGACTAATGGATTATAGAAGTACAGTTGACCCTTGAACAATGGGTTGGAACCACACGGGTCTGCATATACATGGAATTTTCTTAATAAATACTGTAAATGTATTCTCTGCCTTACGATTTTCTTAACTTTTCTTTTCTCTAGTTTATTGTAAGAATATAGTACATAATACATAGAGCGTACAGAATAGGTTTTAATTAACTGTTATCGGTAAGATTTCCAGTCAACAATAGGTATTAGTAGTTAAGTTTTTGGGGAGTTAAAGTTAATACGTGCCCCTCGCTGGGTGGCTCAGTTGGGAACCTCTGTCCCTGACCCATCCTCCCAGCAGATAGCCTCCTCCAGGGAGTCATGTCGGTGGCACTTGCCTTTTAAGATCCTCAGCTTCTCTGGCTAATGAATGCTTCCTTTTACTCTTGATTTTCTTGAACAAAACATTGGTCATTTGTACACTTGAGCTTGTCATTTGTTCCGGAGGAATTCAGAGAAGCACATCTCTTCCTCATTCAAGGCTTGGGGTGGCAGCTCATTTTCAAGGGGCTGAGAAGAAAGGTGGTCGCCCTCTTTGACCATTTAATATCTGCCTGACTTCAAGTGTCCACTCCTGGGACATAGATGTTCTGGCCCTATTCCACTCTTGCTCTCTCCCACCCAGAGGGCCTGTAAAATTTCAGCCCTGTCCCATCAGCTCTCCCAGCTCAGACAGATGGAGCCAAAATGCCCAAAGGTGTTTGGAGGGGGTGGGACTCAGCCTTTCCTGCCCAGCACTCATGGCTCCCTGACCTGTCCCCACACAGGGAGGAGTGGATGCGGGCCATCCAGATGGTTGCCAACAGCCTCAAACAGCGGGGCCCGGGTGAGGACCCCATGGACTACAAGTGTGGCTCCCCCAGTGACTCTTCTGCAGCTGAGGAGATGGAAGTGGCCGTTAGCAAGGCACGGGCCAAGGTGGTAAGTGCTTGGGGGGCAGGGCTGCCAGTCTGTGAGAACGCCGCCCCTACAGTGTTGGCCCTACCACCCTTGGTTTCCATAGGGAGTGTGAGGGGCCCCGCCCTGCCTTGACTGTCCTGTAGCATGGGTGATCTTATGGGGTAGATGCTCAAGGGCTGCTCTGTGCCCCCCCCTCCCGAGAGGTCCTCAAGACCCATCCACCCCCCATTGGAGTCCTCGCAGGGCATCATGTCCAAGAGAGCCGAGTGCTGGGAGAGAGCCCTGGTCTGAAGACCACTTCACAGTGAGCAGTTGCCTCCCCTCCTGCTTGTGCTGGAGCATTTTGGCAACAGTGTCCTTTGATGTTCCTTTTCCTTTGTGAAAATTTGCTCCCATGGGCTGGCTGTGTGCCAGGCAGCACTGATGGCCCTTCTCTTTCTCACCCCTGACAGACCATGAACGACTTCGACTATCTCAAGCTCCTGGGCAAGGGCACCTTCGGCAAAGTCATCCTGGTGCGGGAGAAGGCCACCGGCCGCTACTATGCCATGAAGATCCTGCGGAAGGAGGTCATCATCGCCAAGGTGGGCGCTCCCCACACTGCCATTGGCTGGCCTCAGGGCGGGGAGACACGCACAGGGCCAGGCCACTTACCTGTGCCTTCTGCTACCAGTGTCTCATTTCTCTACCAAACCCACTCCTCTGGGTTCAATTCTGTAAATCCACAGGCTAGCCAGCCTGCCAAGTGCCCACCCCATGCTCTGGGCGCTTGGGGAGATAAGTGGAGAGTCTGACTGGGCCTCGCCCAGCAGCACTGTCAGGGCCTGAAAGGAGGCGTCCCCATAGGCTGTGAGTGAGGGGGCTTGGCTCAGGGTGTCTCAATAGGAGGCTGGGCTAGCAGTGGAATTCTGTTCGTTTTCTTTATTTAAAGTTTTTAAAATGGAAAATTCCTAACATACACAACATTTTTAAAAGGAAAATAAATATAATGAACTCCCATGTAGCCTTTATCCAGCATCAATTGTCAACATTTGGCCAACCTTGTTTCATTAGCTCTGCCCTCACCTTCTTTCTTCTGTAGTACTTTAAGGCATGTTTGAGACAGCATATAACTTACCCATGCGTACTTAGAGATGTGTCTTCAACGGGTGAAGTTTTTAAAGACTAGAATTGTACTGTGATCATGTCCAACGAGTGAACAGTCCCCATGTCACTGGTCCAGGGCAGGGTTTCTCAGCCTCAGCACTGCTGGCGTTTGGGCCAGTTGTTTGCTGCGGTGGCGTCATGCTCTGCACTGTAAGGTGTGGGAGCAGTGTCCCTCTTCCACCCACAAAAGCAGTAGCACCCTTCCCCCTCCCGAGTTGTGACAATCAAAAATGTCTTGACATTATTACCAAACGTCCCCTGAGCATAGACTTACCTGGGAGAGGGGAGCCAGTGTCTGGGCTGCCGGTGGTTGAGGACACCAGCAGCTCTCGGTCACCACCGTGCCTGGTTAGTCAGTGGGAAGGCTTATAAAACCACTGCTGGGCCACCCCATTTCTGGTTGGTCCGGGGAGGGGCCCAAGAACCTGCTTTCTCCCAAGTTCCCAGGCGACACTGATGCTGCCTGTGTGGGGACCACACGCACAACTTCTGCTCCCCAGCCCGGAGTCCCAATTCTAGATCCAGTTTCTTCTTCCATGAGAACAGTTATAGGCGGTGATTCCTACGGCCTCGTGGCACTGCAGGCGTCTTGTAATGTCTGCTTGTTCCCTCTTAGGGATGTTAAAGTTGGCGTGTGGGTTCGGGAGGTGACAGCCTGATCCCTTCATCGTAAAGTCCCCATCACCTTCTCACCTTGTGGTTTTGTGAGCGAGCCATTGACTGTCCTTGCCTGGGCCCCTTATTCCTTCGGGCTTGTGGATGGTCATGTGCCAGGTTGGGGGCTGGCATGTTGTCACCCACCAGCCCCTCACCTGGCCTCTGTCTGCAGGATGAAGTCGCCCACACGGTCACCGAGAGCCGGGTCCTCCAGAACACCAGGCACCCATTCCTCACTGTGAGTGGCACTCCCCTCCGGCCTGTGCACTGCGGGGGCCTCCAGGCCAGCCCTCGGACAGAGCTCAGGGAATGAGCCAACCCTCCTGCTATGAAGCAGACTTACTGTCAGCCAGGTGGCTGGGGCCAGGCGTTGCTGGGTTCCCAAAACCCTGGGGTGGCAGCTTCTTCATAGATAGTGGTGTCATGTCAGCACCTCAGCCGACAGGTGAAATGACAGCAGCATGGCCCAGGAGAGCATGGCTGCTGTCTCTGAGTTTGAGGCACTTAGCCTGGCTGGTCAAAGTGGGAATGTGATTTTTTAAAAATTTTCAGATGTAATCCTAGAGGCAGATGTATTACTGTGCTGTCAACTTGAGCTGAGCAGGCACCTCTCTGGGCTCTAGCCATCAGTTAACTGGACTAGACTGAGCATGGCTTATGGATTATTTCTGTACCTTAGTTTCTGTCCAGGTTTCTGTTAGGCCACAGCACTTGTTCAAATGAAATCTTACGAGGTGCTTCCATGTAGAAGACGGAGAACAGCGGAGTCGTGAGCAGAGGGTTCAACGAAGCGATCTGAGGAACCCTCTATAGGGATTCTTAGAGCACAGTTTGAGAACTACTCTTTTTTTGGCAGATTGCTTGTCCAAGCTGTCTTTGAGGTCAGCTCCAACTCCCAGACAGCAAACCTCATGTGCGTGTGTGTGTGTATGTGTGAGAAAGAGTTTAATGCATTTGACTTTAAAATGGGAGGAGGAAGAGAGACATGACATAGCTCTGCTTACTCAGAAGAGTCTCCCTCCTGGCTGTGCCTCTTGGAAGCTTAGTGGCAGGCAGAGGACAGATTGCTTAGCACAGTAACCCTCTCCCAGTCCTCAGAGCCACGAGCCCACTCACGTGCCCTAGAAGGTGAGGCTGAGGTCTGAACCCCGGCTGCCTGGTTCCCATGGCCAGTCAGGGCGGGGCGTGTCGAGGCTGAACTGGCAGCGCCTAGCCACCTTTCTTCCCCGCAGGCACTGAAGTACGCCTTCCAGACCCACGACCGCCTGTGCTTCGTGATGGAGTACGCTAACGGTGGGGAGGTGAGCTGTGCTGCCCCCGCCGGGCTGCCTGGGTGTCTCATTC